AATGGGTAACAGAAGTTATTAGCATAAATAATACCTTGTTTTGCACATGTCTCTCAATAAATTGAAGGCATCATCAAGGCAAAATGACATATCTTTTAACCCAATGTCACCAGGGATGGCAAATAAGTACATACCATGCCCACCGTGATTATAATCTATGAATTGTTTTTACACAGATGGCTCCACAAGTACTAATTACAAATACTACCTGTCTCACCTGTTTACTCTTTACCTTGACTTTCGAAAAAATTTTGTAGTATCTTATATTGCTATTAGTAATGTCAATAGCACTATAATAATCATAATGTATATAATAAAAATAGCAAACACCAATAATGACAGGAAAAATAATGTCTTCCCCACAAACTCAAGGGAAGGTGATATCAGGTGAGGTCACAAAGTCTATTAATTGACTCCTTTGTGGCTAAGCACTTGCAGAGCCATCTATATGCAGACACATTTCACAAAGCAGTACTACTGTGAACACAACATTTTCCCCACGACAGTGGGTTCACTTCTATATGTCTAGCACAATTCCAAGCATTTCCATCTATTTGCTAAAATGATAGTTGTTCTCTTCAAAAGACATTGTTATATGAAAACACATTTATGAAAAAAGATAATTACAAAATGAAATAGACACATCTATATCATGCATATCACACATACCATAACATAAAAAAAAATAAAAAAAACTTACTTGTTCAAACTTCCATCCATCTGACATTGTTGAAACAAGTTGAGTCAACTCATTTTCATGGCACTGAAGGACTCGATACATGTGCTTCTTGCCTGCCTTAGGTGGCCTGTTATCTCTCTGATTTATATGCTCCTTCACTAACCTAATCAAATCTGTGATGTTGTAAAATTCTGCTTCTTCAAGTACTCCTGCAACAAAAACATTATTTAATTTTTGGCATTATGATCTAATTGAATACTAATACAATACAGTAAATCTCCACATCCAATACCCTATCTATAACTAATATTAGCAATATAGAAAGAGCAATTCATAAAATCAATATGTATCCTCAATGACATCCATAAAAAGAACATTCTAAAAAATAGAAGCTCTAAAATCACAGCAGTATCTTACCTTCCTCAGCTAAATCTTTATTCATAACTAACTTCCCATGTCGTAAGTAATTCAGCACCGGCCCAAAGTACGTGGGATCTCTGTCTATTAAGTAGGCACCAGTTTCATCCTATCAGAATAAAACAGATTTTGTTACACAAAAATATATACATCTATATATCAAATTCCAGACAAGCACACACATAATCAACACACAGACCACACACACACCACACACACACCATGCATGTCTGTGCCCTATGCAAGAAATACAGTGTATATAACATACATTACTAACAATTTTAATGAGGTAACACAAACCCTCCTTTTTTCAGCAAGTGGGCAGATCAACAAAATTGTTGATCAATATCAAATACCTATCATTACATCGTAAACATCACAATTCAAACACATACGACTTCAATATTTAAAGGCAAACAAGAGATAAAAAAAATGATTACTTATCCACATCACACTCAGGAGAGGTGAAGAGTTAGGAGAAAATATGATGCCACACACAGCTCTAATAGACTGTCTATACTGAGGCACACCTCCAATCCAATGCCATCTACTGACATATATTTGTACTAGGCTAACACCTACCATATTGCTGAGATGCTTGAACAAGAATTTCCTTTATACTATAATGTGCCTCAACAATTGTGTTGCGCAAATGGCTTTAGAGTTAATAACAACAACATGTAGCATCATCATCATCATCATCTCATCAATCATCATCACATCATCATCATCATCAATCATCATTCATGATATAAATAATAATAACAACAACAATAAACAAAACAATAATAATATAATAATATAACAAAATAATAATATAACAATAATAACAAAAATAATATAATATATAATAATTGATAATGATAATAATAAAAATAATAACAACAACAATAATAATAGCACCAATAGTAATAATAAATCAATAATGATAATAATAACAAAACAATAAATAGTTAATGACAATAATAATAATAATTATTATTATAACAATAATAATGATAATAATAATAACAAAAATAATGATAATAAAAAATAATAATAATAATAACAATATTAAGAATAAGAAAAACAACAACAACAACAAAACAACAACAACACAACAATAATAATAATAGCAACTATGATAAAATAAAAATAAATATTTCAGATGAATAACAAATAAATAAAATATTAATAAGAGTACTAGTGATTCCATAAAACATACAGCTCCTTAAAAATATGTTTTTACTCCTCTTTCCAACTATAGTAAGAGTTGGGTATAGCCAAATAATATTACAGCAAATGCTTGATAAACAGAAGAAAACCAGAAAAGTAATGAAGGAACATGAAATAATCTCAGTATGCAATGTACTCTTTTCCTGCATAGTAAACTGTGACATATACATAAATCAGCTTTTACAAACTGGAAAATAGCAGACTGTCCTCAAAATAGTGGACCAATGACTAATATCTATTGTACTTGGAACCAATGACACTAAAAGCTGTGATATTCCATTTATCTAACAAACATCTCCCTTTGTTCACTGAAGATGTTTAACTATCTCGCAATGAGATCTCCAGTGCCATACTTAATCTCGTACTGTGTGGGAGCTGGAGTCAGCTGCTCGAGAAAGTTGGAAGAGCAGAAAATGAACTTGTCCCACTCTCTCTCTCTCTTGATTGCAACACAGATAACTTTTTTTAATAATGAGGTTAAAACAAGGGTGGGTAGACATGACCATCATGGCAGGGACATCATCTTGGTAGTCTAGCCATGAATAATAGGATGTCAACTGTCATAAATGGATTAATACACAAGCAAAATTACATTATGCAATTGATCACATGTCCAATATAATAAAAACGGTGTACCTTGTCAACCCAAGATTTTGATTAAGCTAAGATTACACATATAGTTACATATATAGTACTTAATTTACATTCTTGACTGAATACATCTGAAAGGAAAAAAAATTACATATAGGAAATACATTATGCTAATACTGTTAATGAAATGGAACTATATATTTGTGTGTGTTAAGAATAATTACATGTGTTTAGGTATGTGTGTTATCATATCATTATTTTCCAAAAATAAGTGAAACCTTGTGCCCAGTCACAGCAACTTAGATGTTGTTGATAAATTTTGTGCCGTTGAGTTGGGGAGTATGTCTATGGCAAGGGTGTATATACTGTAAAAAATTACCCAATGGTTCAGTAAGGAACTGGGAACTCAGAACGTGGCTTACTTAAAACCATAATACTATTTTTCTTGATTTTCACACGGACTTTTTTAGGATTAGTAAAAAAAAGAAAGAAAAAAATCTGTATTTATTTACAAAGTGACCACACTCCTCAGAGAGGAAGTCCCTAATACTACGGCCTGCAACTTGGGCCACTTCTGGGAATCCACAAAATTTACCATATGAAACAAAAAGTTCCTTAACCTGGGGTATTGCCCCAACCGCCCCAGCAATTGCCTTACTTTCCTGCATCAAATAGAAACAATGTGTTATTTAGTATAAATTACAGTATAATACCTTTACTCCCTGAAAGCTACATACCCTTGTTTAACAAAACACAACACTTTCCTTTGCTTCCAATGACTGAACTGCTTATCTTTTTTTTTTTTTTTGATAACTGGGATACTTGACAGGCTCAGATATCAAAATTTGATGGTTACTAATGACTATTCCTTTGCACAGCTGGGTTAAGGTATATAAAAGGACTGCACTAAGTAGGAGAAAGGCGGTCCCCAGCGTGGCATTACGGCGAAGCAGACGCCATGAAAATGCCCTTAGCTGATATGCGCTCGAAATTAGCAGAAAGATTACTACTTAAAATAGCTGGATTAAGCTCAAGATACGGTTGATTGGTTTGCTAAATTTATGTTCGAAATCAACCCCTTTGTTTCTTTTTTGTTTATTCCACCTTCTATTCTTTTTTCTCTTTTCGTCTTTTCCCTTCTCCCGTCTTTCTTTCTTTTTCCCTTTCTTATTTTGCCTTCTATCCACTCTCCTATTTTCCTTTCTATCTGTCTGTCTGTCTGTCTGCCTCTCTTTCTCTTTCTCTTTCTCTCTTTCTCTTTCTCTTTCTCTTTCTCTTTCTCTTTCTCTTTCTCTCTCTCTCTCTCTCTCATCCTCTCTCTCTCTCTCTCCTCCATTGGATTATTGTCATATACAAGATAATGGTGTTAGCAATGAAAAATTACATTTTTTGCTATCAAATTTAATCTGCAGAAACCACCCTGTTCAACTTAAATGATAAAATATGGCACACAGAATACTTGAACTAAGATTAAGTCCCCATACAATTCCAGCGACTAAGTCAAGCTTTCCTCGCCTTGCAGCGAACATCTCAGTTGCTTGGGAACCCTACATGAACGGTCTGGGTGCATGTAGCTTATGATATCTTGGTCAATTTCTTAGAAATGCACTATACTATTAATGTATGTCTGTATTCTAATTCTAAATAAGGAAATATACATTTATTAAATGTTCATTCCTTAAATATACTATGTGATCTATTTTGGGTTAAGGTTTATGATAGGACCACACCGACTAGGAGAATATTGAAGATCATAGCATTGTAGGCGATGAAACTGATTTGCAGATGCGAACCTGTTCGAGTTAAATGAGGAAAAGTTGGCGCGCAGAATGCCGCATGGGGACTAAGTCCCCACGAGCCCCCAGCGACTAAGCCCAACCCACGTCACAGCGAACCACTTAGCTGCGTGGGAACCCAACATGAACTGTTTTCGCACATGTAGCTCATGACGTCAAGACAAATTTCTTATAAATGCACAGTAGTAAAATGTATTTCTGTATTCTAACTTATATGAAATTTTAACGAAAACGCATTTTTCAAATGTTCATTCCTTAAATACATGATGTGATGGATTTTATCATAAACGTAACCATAGTTT